GCCCAGGCCAGAGAAGCCCATCAGCACGTATTGCAACTGCAGCGTCAAGGCAAGGTGTCTTCCTTCCTTAGGCGTCTCGTAGGTTTCTTCTAGGCATGAACAATGAAGCCGTGAGCTTACTGGAGCACATGCGGAATCAGATGAGGGAGATGGTCCAGACTGGTCTCACACCGGGGCGTATTCCTGCCGTGCCTGAGAGCCCGTCGCGGAGTAGTGGAGAAGATAGTGGTGGTGAATGAAGTTCTCCTGCATATAGGTTCACTCTGCCTCTTTCGCAGGTCCACATAAGAACTCACCGCCTAATGTTAATGGATTCGATCAGTCATCAGTGAGGGACAACCGACGAAGTCGGAAGACTAAGGTACTCAACGATAGCGCTTCATTCGTGAGTGATGCATGCCCGTTCGTTACACGTTGCTATCAGTTGCCCCAGGGTGCAACAGGCCGCTCTACTCCACAGGGTGGGTCTCAGCCCGAGCTCGGCAATGAGCCCTTCAGCACTGATAATATCAACGGGCCTGCGGGCTTCTCAGCAGTTCCGGCGACGGCTCCTGCTATTCAACAGGATCCTCGAGATACTGGTAGTAGTAGTAGGTGTGGGGAAATATAGTCGAACAGGCTAGAGGGTGGCTGGTAGCTATGTTTATGCTACTGAGCCGACTGCAATTAATTTAGTCGATCCGTATTCCTATGGGGTGTTCTTTTGAATGTGAATGAGGTGGTCAATCTACAATAGTGGGATGATACTTATCAGAATCGATCAAACTGTTGCGGCGTCAAGTGGAGGAGCTGAAGGTTGAATTAGCCCGTAGTAAGGGCCCTGAGAGTGCACAGGAGATGGAGAAACGGCTGAGGATGCAGGAGATGGAGCAAAGATACTCCAGTTTGGAGAATGCTGTAGTACAGGCGTGCGGGATTTGGGGGAGGTGTGGTAGCTGTATGAGGTCGATGAAATATTCACGGGGCTATGGCGCCGTCCTACAAAGCAGTTCGGTAGTTCCTAACGGAAGTAGCATGAGCCGTTCATCCCAGATGTTTCTCATAAAAGCCTGAAACGGTGACAATCGCGGAGTTTTCTGATGATCGCCGAAACGGCTTTACGCGGGTCCGATGCCCGTCCAAACTCGGGGCTTGGTGTCTTGTTGGCAAGGAGTTTTCGATTAGGTGAGAGACCTCCGCTCGGTACTATCCGACCAGCTGTCCAGGACGACACAG